AAAAAAAAAAAAAAAAAAAAAAAAAAAAAAAAAAAAATAAATATACCGACGAATTGAATACCTCCTTCTTTTGGGAAGTCGGTCAAAAATGAACTGAACTTTAAAGCATTTTTAGAAGTCATTATTCATTCCTATTTTGCGGCATATTTTTGGAATTGGCGTCCAATTTAATCTTTATCTGTAAGTAGCCTTAAAAAAATGGTTTGTTCAATAATGTAATTTTACGTAACCGCTACTCCTAATTAACATGATATTGGCAATAAACTTCAATGAGAGAATTCGTAGTTGTGTATAATGTATAATATTTCGGCACCAAAGGTTCTAGTTTCAGATTTCAAGAAATTAGAACATTTAGAACCGATTATGACCAGTATCGGTTAAGCTGACCCTCCCCCCTTTCGTCATCTGTTACAATTTTTTCATGTATGTTTGTTATTTTGTACAACTCTGTGTATTCTTGGATGGCAATAACGAGGTTTTTTATTATTTTTTTTATATGATAAAAAATTGTCTAAAACAATTAAGTTTATGAGTTCAATGGTTATATAATTATTAAAAAAAAGATATAAAACAGTTGTGATTTAACGATTACATTAAAGTAAAGGTTGTCCTCGTCGGAATCACATCGACCGTAAAATTTAACCTTCGTACCCTTTTATTTTGAGCCTACGCGCTCGGCTGGTACCCGCGGACCCCGACGTTCGCTCGATTGTCATAATTATATATAGAAAAACCACGATACAGACGCTCTGGCAGTTTTAATGAATCGAACTGTTTTGTTCTAGGCTAAATACTAACTGGCAGGTGACCGTACAGTTAAAGATTAAACTTTACGATCATATGGTAATTATAGTGCCCAAAAAACCCACATATTCGTATCTCAAGTTCATCACTTAAGTAACTATTAAATGATCATGCGTTCAAAGTACACAGAGTACAAATGTCCAACTCCCTCGTGATTAAATTGTTCTGCAAAATGATATCTATTGTTAGAGATCCAATGGGAATAACAATTGCTTATTAATCAAGTCTCTCTGAGTGACTCATTAGCTTGAATTATAACTGCGAGTGTAAAAGATTGAAGGAATATTATAACAATAGAGTTCATCAGTAGCTACTTTATAAGTCTTTAGAATCTCTTGATCGTGGAAGTCTGATATCAAACAATGACCTTTTGTTTAATTCCGAGGGGTTGGGCACACTCTATTATTCTCGACTCGTTTTAATACAAAGCATATCATATAAGCTTTAATATGTGTAAGTAGTAATTTACTTGTATGTACCAGACTGTTGTAAGAGACACTAATTATTTCGCATCTGCAATTGCGGATGTTTATGGGCAGCGGTCGGTTTCCATTTCGGTGGATTCAGGTGGCCACTTGCTCATTTGCCGCTATACATTATAAAAAAACACTAAGGGATACGAAGTAACGTAACAACAGAGTAATAACAGAAAACACTAAGCGATTACAGGCCAAACACATACACGGACATATTTTTTTTATTGTTAGAAAAATTATACTAGAACAGGAAAGTGCATTTGATGGAGAAGGGAACGCATATGCAAATCCACTTTTATACACATCAAACACTCTATTATATAAAAGGGTATCCCTTGGTAAAAGATCGGCAACGCGTCTGCAATTGTGCAAGTCTGTGGGCAGCGGTCGCTTTGCTTATTTCTGTGAATTCATTGATCACATACTTTTTTATATAAGAGAAGGCATATAAGCAGCGGGAACACCTTTGCCACTTTATGACAAAAACTAACTATGTATTCCAGATTCTTTTTAATCAATTGTTCCGTTTTTATAAAATTGGTTTGCTAATGTGAATGTAATTCAATTGAGAACAATCCTTGTTTTTCACCTTTGTATTTCTATGTGTCGTCAAAGATATGGTATCTTTAAAAGGTATTAGATTTTAATAATTATTTAATAATGAATATCAACAGTTTAATATTACTCTATCGTTATTTACGTACATCAGTTAACAGAAACACTATTAATTGTACAATCGAATAGCAAATTAATAACGCGGTGTCAGTTGTGAATAATATTGACAATTTAATATCTACCCGCACTATTATTAGAGACAGTTGTAATTAATGTTCCATGGAGGCTGATGTATATTATTTAGACTAG